TCACCCGCGACACCTACACTACACTAGACGTTGTTTCAGGAGCCAGGACTTACAGAGTTGAAGCCTCTAATGTAAGGGCAGTGAAATCATTTGATGAGGTCGAACAGTGATATCAATGTGCACCGTCTGAAAAATCTTGTCTCCGTTGTGTCTTTGCCTCTGCTGTACGTGGTCTGTACGAGGTCTGTACACGGTCCTTGTGGTGGAGCTAGTGTGAACCTGGCTATCCAGCTACATTATACAGATCTAATGACTTGTCAGCTGTTAACATTATTTACTATTGATGCAAATGAATGTTACTCATTGCTGGAGGCTGCTATTCTAACTCGCTACACAGCAGGTCTCAGTCTTCTGTAGCTGGTGCTATTAATGCTACACGCTACACAGCAAGTCTCAGTCTTCTGTAGCTGGTGCTATTAATGCCCTCGTCATATGTCGGCGCCTTCGCTCAAGTAATGGCTCCATTCAGCATGTGTTAATGGATGTAAAGAGCACAGTAAAACACATGACACTTAAGGTGCCTCGCGTAATACTGACGTATTTAGTACGTGTTTGGAACTCTGATATCCACTGAATAGATATCTACCCGAACACGTAATAGATCTCAGGCTCATTGTAGGTGTAGCCATACAACTTATACATACACAAACATAAACAATGACAACACATTAACCAGGCCCTCGTATTGCCCAAGTGAGTAGCTACATCATCCACTGACTAGGCCCTCGTATTGCCCCAAGTGAGTAGCTACATCACCCACTGACTAGGCCCTCGTATTGCCTACTGTAGCACACTAGATCAATAACACTATAATGTTTCGGATCACTTTTATGTTTACCTCAAACTCCACCCAGGCGCAGCACGCAGCAGAAGAACCACACCGAGACACTACAAAAGTTCTGCTGCTCATGTCTTATATTTGCTGTCTACAATGGACGTAATGCTCTTCCCGATATGTGTAAACGTCGGGGTGGCTATTACTAGTCTTATAACAGTTTTACCACTCTGATGAATCAGATGAAAACTTTGAGTACACCATTGTAACTTGATATTACTATTCCGGGAGATAATCTCGATCATCAAGCTGATTCCACATGGTGTGAATAGCGACATCGCTCTGACACGTGTGTCAATGAACCCTTGAATAGCGTATATAGTTAGCTCTGACACGTACGTGAATGAACCTGTGGATAGTGTGTATAGTTAGCTCTGACACGTACGTGAATGGACCTGTGGATAGTGTGTATAGTTAGCTCTGACACGTACGTGAATGGACCTGTGGATAGTGTGTATAGTTAGCTCTGACACGTACGTGAATGGACCTGTGGATAGTGTGTATAGTTAGCTCTGACACGTACGTGAATGGACCTGTGGATAACATGTTTAGTTAGCTCTGACACGTACGTGAATGAGCCTGTACAAAGCGTGTTTAGTTAGCTGTAGTAAGATACACCTTTAGTGATGCTACAGTTGACAGATTCGTCTATGGTGGACAGTCATAGAATGTAACATATGCTATGGAGGGATTGTCATGTCAATAGGCTCAAAACAAGAAAATGTTTGAAGTCCTTGAGACCGCATGGCCGTGACGACTCCACCTCTATGTGCATGGTTACACTGATAAATGTAGGTTACAGTTTCTAGTGGTATTCCGACCAAAGCCACTGTGAGTAGCAGCCGTCGGATAAGCTCTTGCATCGACCGTACTTTTTACATTGCTAAAATACCGTTTAGGAAACCATTTCAAAGACTACACTAGCAGCGGTTGATTCCGAGCTCAATCTGCCAATATAAAGAACTCAGACGTTTGACAGAATGCACAAAGCACATTTGGAGAGAAAGACAGAGACCACATCCCTCACGATGCAACCAAATTCCTATTTAAATACCCTAATGTATCTCATGTCGTCCTACATTTAGGACATGTAACCACTGTATCGACATCACTGTGACTGTGATTGCCACATTAGTGGGTACTGTGAACGTTTATATCTGACAGAAACCACCCCTATGTATTATTGATAAACTGGTTGCCTATACATGTACTTGACGACCATGATATGTTTTCACTGTTTCTCGGAGCAGTTGTTGACGAGGTAATTGACAAAACCGGTTAAAGCATAATGACTTCTTTGCTGTTCTTGGTTGAGTTTACAGATGCAAGTTATTTAGAGAAGACCAATTACTACTGATCACAAACTGAACAGAGTGAAGTGTGATTTATAGGGGCACTGTATCACCCGGTTTTGATATGTACACATGCTTTATGTAAATACTGTACCTGGTTCTGTATGATCCACGGAGTCCAATCTCAGGGAAACACTGTACCCTTCACACGAGATATAAAAGTTGTCCTTTACACCGTCAAGCCTTTCAACGTAATACCCCGTAGAAGTACCTTACCTTTGTCAATAGCACAACACCTTGTAGAAATACTTTAACGTTGTCCATAGCACAACACCCCGTAGAAGTACCTTACCTTTGTCCATAGCACAACACCCTGTAGAAGTACCTTACCTTTGTCCATAGCACAACACTCTGTAGTGTCCATGCCGTACTCCACCACGTCAGTGTTTGTCAGCTACACTACCATGCCGTCCTTCACTACGTCAGTGTTTGTCAGCTACACTACCATGCTGTCCTCCACCACGTCAGTGTTTGTCAGCTACACTACCACGCCGTCCTCCACCACGTCAGTGTTTGTCACTACACTACCATGCCGTCCTCCACCACGTCAGTGTTTGTCAGCTACACTACCATGCCGTCCTCCACCACGTCAGTGTTTGTCAGCTACACTACCATGCCGTCCTCCACCACGTCAGTGTTTGTCAGCTACACTACCATGCCGTCCTCCACCACGTCAGTGTTTGTCAGCTACACTACCATGCCGTCCTCCACCACGTCAGTGTTTGTCAGCTACACTACCACGCCGTCCTCCACCACGTCAGTGTTTGTCAGCTACACTACCATGCCGTCCTCCACCACGTCGGTGTTTGTCAGCTACACTACCATGCCGTCCTCCACCACGTCAGTGTTTGTCAGCTACACTACCACGCCGTCCTCCACCACGTCAGTGTTTGTCAGCTACACTACCATGCCGTCCTCCACCACGTCAGTGTTTGTCAGCTACACTACCATGCCGTCCTCCACCACGTCAGTGTTTGTCAGCTACACTACCATGCCGTCCTCCACCACGTCAGTGTTTGTCAGCTACACTACCATGCCGTCCTCCACCACGTCAGTGTTTGTCAGCTACACTACCATGCCGTTCTCCACCACGTCAGTGTTTGTCAGCTACACTACCACGCCGTCCTTCACTACGTCAGTGTTTGTCAGCTACACTACCATTCCGTCCTTCACTACGTCAGTGTTTGTCAGCTACACTACCATGCCGTCCTCCACCACGTCAGTGTTTGTCAGCTACACTACCATGCCGTCCTTCACTACGTCAGTGTTTGTCAGCTACACTACCATGCCGTCCTCCACCACGTCAGTGTTTGTCAGCTACACTACCATGCCTTCCTCCACCACGTCAGTGTTTGTCAGCTACACTACCATGCCGTCCTTCACTACGCCCAGTACACGTCCCCTAAACCTTTATTTCTTCTTCACCGACCTCACGGAATGAACACACTCCATGAGATATCTCAATAACCTAAAACGGTTTTTAATTAAAAAAAAGAAAGACATATTTCCAGAGATATTAGCCTTATGCCTAAATGCCTTGACAATACTAAGATGCCTTGACAATACTAAGATGCCTTGACAATACTAAGATGCCTTGACAATACTAAGATGCCTTGACAATACTAAGATGCCTTGACAATACTAAGATGCCTTGACAATACTAAGATGCCTTGACAATACTAAGATGCCTTGACAATACTAAGATGCCTTGACAATACTAATATGGCCATTCCCCCAGTTTCCCGGACAAGGACTCACAGTAATGAAGCTGGAGTAGGTTCAACAATTTCGAAATACACACATGATTTGGGTGAACCAGAGTGATTGGGAAGCATATTTCTGTAATTGTAAAAACGTTGACTGTGGCAATAAGTCATAAATAATTTCCCTTGAGGAAAAGAAACTATTGTTTAATTTTTCCCGACGGGGCAATATCCAGTTATATATATTGGCAGCAGCCGAAGCTCAGAGTGCACGGTTTTTACCAAAATCCCATCGCGGATGAAAAAGAAAGTGGAATGCTGAACTTCAGAGTCCGCAGAACCGAACGTTAATGTTATCGATATGAAAAATGTATAAGATGCTATCTTCAGCAATGTTGGGATTGCATTCCACTCTGTATTCCAACTTTTAGATCCACTAGGCTTCATCTGGGTCATTACCGTCATCTCCAATTATTTCCTGATCAGATTGGCAAGACCTCAAAGCCAAACTTTAGACAGGCCCGAATTCTATGAATCGAGCCTAACGACTCTTTCATTGAAGCTGTTTTTATCCTAGGTATACTATGCTGCGATATTGTAAGTGGGAACATCAAATGAAATTAAGTTATTGGCCCTGTAAAAGATACGAAGAAATTATTGATTTGACCAAGGAAAGAAAACGATTCAAGGATACGTCTTAAGAAGCCTCAGGGATGAGTTTTAGTGTGGTTTTCAGTAGCCCTGACAGAGGATGTTTATCAATGGCTGTGTAGGGACTCGGGACTGACGTCGGCTCACATCACCTCACAATGTCAATAATCGATACAACTATTGAGTAAACAGTTTCTAAAAAGTTCCATGCATCGGGACATCACATGGTGCGGTAACCGAGAACCGGGTATGATCATCACAAGATGGGGTAACCGAGACCGGGTATGCTTATCACAACATGATTTGGTAACCGAGGACCGGGTATGATCATCACAAGATGGGGTTACCGAAAACCGGGTATGATCATCACACGTTGGGGTAACCGAGGACCGGGTATAATCATCCGGACAACAGGTATCGGGTATGATCATCACAAGATGGGGTAACTGAGAACCGGGTATGATCATCACAAGATGGGATGACCGAGAACTGGGTATGATCATCACAAGATGGGGTGACCGAGAACTGGGTATGATCATCACCGGAAATGGTGAAATGGTAAGCTTAAAGAAGTATCGGTAGAAAAAAAACGATAGCTCTCTGCAGCTAATTCTAATCATATATAATTTATAGAGCCTTTTTTATGTACTAGTTTCATAAAGAAATGGGTGAGTGTGTGTTCCATAACTTCAGGTTCGAACCATCCTAACCCCTGCAACACTGATCACTTCCGGCAATACTCCCATACTAAGACGACACGCCGTGAAACAGTGGACATACTGTTCAAAGCGGCATTAAACCTGACTCACTCACTCACCCTTCTCCCGCTCAGGACCACGCAGGAAGACCGCTTCAGTCTTCAGTCAGATCGTCACTGTGTATCTTTAGTATCGATCTCTACAATCGCAAATATTTGTTAATCAGATTATTCGTGCCGGATAGAAGACACACTCTGCTGGCCAATTGGTAATTACATTCCGCTGATGTTTACAGAACGCTGATTGGCTGATTTCTCTGTTCTGGGTAGTGTTACCTCTACACACTGTTGGACAAATGAATGGCCATCTTTAGGTTAACTTTGCAATGTCGATCACCTTCAGATACGATGTATTGTAATCAGCGAACACTACGTCAAATTATGTTTCTGGCCGTGATTCGGGCCCTCCAAAAGCTCAGCACGTCTCGTAAGATGCTGATTGTTGGCTCCACGGTGTTCCAGGTCTGAATATATTTATGTTACAGAATGGCTGATACCTGTCTGCGGCTTGCAGCGAGAATGAAATACTAGCTTATGTGTGATTAGTATGGAGATTGGCTTACCTGCTCTGGCTTATTCCTGGAACGTTATTAAATAACAGACGAACACACTTCGGGCTGTTGTACCGAGTACACACACAGAGCCACACACTACAGGCTGTTGTACCGAGTACACACACAGACCCACACAATACAGGCTGTTGTACCGAGTACACACACAGACCCACACACTACAAGCTGTTGTACCGAGTACACACACAGACCAACACACTTCAGGTTGTTGTACCGAGTACACACACAGACGAACACACTTCAGGCAGTTGTACCGAGTACACACACAGACGAACACACTTCAGGCTGTTGTACCGAGTACACACACAGACCAACACACTACAGGCTGTTGTACCGAGTACACACACAGACCCACACACTGCAGGCTGTTGTACCGAGTACACACACAGACCCACACACTACAGGCTGTTGTACTGCCGAGTACACACACAGACGAACACACTACAGGCTGTTGTACACACCGAGTACACACACAGGCTGTTGTACCGAGTACACACAGACCCACACACTACAGGCTGTTGTACCGAGTACACACACAGACCCACACACTGCAGGCTGTTGTACCGAGTACACACACAGACCAACACACTACAGGCTGTTGTACCGAGTACACACACAGACCAACACACTACAGGCTGTTGTTCCGAGTACACACACAGACCCACACACTACAGGCTGTTGTACCGAGTACACACACAGACCAACACACTTAAGGCTGTTGTACCGAGTACACATACAGACCAACACACTACAGGCAGTTGTTCCGAGTACACACACACAACAATCTGACTCACTTCAGAGGTCAGCTGAGAGTACATACACATAACAATCTGACTCACTACAGAAGTTAGCTTAGAGTACACACACATAACAATCAGACTCACTTCAGAGGTTAACTTAGAGAACACACACATAACAATCTGACTCACTACAGAGGTTAGCTTAGAGTACACACACATAACAATCTGACTCACTACAGAGGTTAGCTTAGAGTACACACACATAACAATCTGACTCACTACAGAGGTTAGCTTAGAGTACACACACATAACAATCTGACTCACTACAGAGGTTAACTTAGAGTACACACACATAACAATCTGACTCACTACAGAGGTTAACTTAGAGTACACACACATAACAATCTGACTCACTACAGAGGTTAACTTAGAGTCACACACACATAACAATCTGACTCACTCACAGACTCACACACAGGTAACAAGCTTACAGAGGTTACACACACACAACAATCTGACTCACTACAGAGGTTAGCTTAGAGTACACACACATAACAATCTGACTCACTACAGAGGTTAGCTTAGAGTACACACACATAACAATCTGACTCACTACAGAGGTTAACTTAGAGTACAGTACATAACAATCTGACTCACACAGAACACAATCTGACTCACTACAGAGGTTAGCTTAGAGTACACACACATTACAATCTGACTCACTACAGAGGTTAGCTTAGAGTACACACACATAACAATCTGACTCACTACAGAGGTTAGCTTAGAGTACACACACATAACAATCTGACTCACTACAGAGGTTAGCTTAGAGTACACACACATAACAATCTGACTCACTACAGAGGTTAACTTAGAGTACACACACACAATTGACTCACTACTGAGTACTCACTACAGAGGTTAGCTTAGAGTACACACACATTACAATCTGACTCACTACAGAGGTTAGCTTAGAGTACACACACATAACAATCTGACTCACTACAGAAGTTAGCTTAGAGTACACACACATTACAATCTGACTCACTACAGAGGTTAACTTAGAGTACACACACATTACAATCTGACTCACTACAGAGGTTAACTTAGAGTACACACACATTACAATCTGACTCACTACAGAGGTTAGCTTAGAGTACACACACATTACAATCTGACTCACTACAGAGGTTAGCTTAGAGTACACACACATAACAATCTGACTCACTACAGAGGTTAAGCTTAGAGTACACACACATAACAATCTGACTCACTACACAGAGGTTAACTTAGAGTACACACACATTACAATCTGACTCACTACAGAGGTTAGCTTAGAGTACAGACACACACACAATCTGACTCACTACAAGGTTCTTAGAGTGACTACAATCTGACTCACTACAGAGGTTAGCTTAGAGTACACACACATTACAATCTGACTCACTACAGAGGTTAGCTTAGAGTACACACACATTACAATCTGACTCACTACAGAGGTTAGCTTAGAGTACACACACATTACAATCTGACTCACTACAGAGGTTAGCTTAGAGTACACACACATTACAATCTGACTCACTACAGAGGTTAGCTTAGAGTATACACACACATAACAATCTGACTCACTACAGAGGTTAGCTTAGAGTACACACACATTACAATCTGACTCACTACAGAGGTTAGCTTAGAGTACACACACATTACAATCTGACTCACTACAGAGGTTAGCTTAGAGTACACGCACATAACAATCTGACTCACTACAGAGGTTAGCTTAGAGTACACACACATTACAATCTGACATAAGGATGTGTATAGTCATAAGTATGTCCTGGACGGTAATGGAATAGTGTCCTCGTCAGCCGAACATCGGAAGGAGATGAGTTTCAATCCCAGGTGATCGTGTAGCAGCTGAGTGGTAGGATCACCTGAACGGGAAAGTGTCGAGCTGTGTGTCAAAGTGGATTGCACGGCTCAGCCCAGATTTACCTCGCCAGTTTTGATTTTCCTTCAAGCCCGTTTAATAGAGCTTGTGTAGCTGAGCCAGTTTGACGCCGAGCTGAACATATGGAACCAATTCGTCTGAGCTTCCAAAGACTGGAAACTAATTAAAACGAATTTCGATAGACGTGGACATTCCTTTTGAAGGCTTTCAATGCTTACATGTTAAAAAAGCCATTAATAACAGGGACATAACCGGGTGTGTAATGCCTACGTTATATAGCTCTATAATGATTTACAGATTACCGTCTGAGCAAAGCCAAATTCCTGTGCTCAATGGCTTCATGTTAGAGAGAGCCCTTACTGCCACACGCTAAAGGTACATGACATCTCCTACAGAGTTATCACTGGGCGAGGTACACGAAACACGGTACTTCCACCATGCAGAAGTTCTGCAGATGCGGCTGTTGACACCTGAAACATAATACGGAAAATATCACAACAATTATGGGAGGTACACACCCAAGGGAGGTGTACACACACACTCACACACAAACACACACACAGACACGCAAGGGAGGTAGATATGCTCACACTAGGAAAGAGCACACACAAACACGCACACAGACACGCAAGGGAGGTAGGTATACTCATACAAAAGGGATGTATACACACACAAGGAAGGTATGTGCATACACACACAAGGAAGGTACACACACATATAAGGGAGGTAGATATACTCACACAAGAAAAGTACACACACACAGACACAAAACACAAACACACAGACACAAAAGGGAGGTAAGTATGCTCACACAAAAGGGAGGTATAAACACACAAGGAAAATATATGTATATGTACACAAGGGAGGTACACGCACGCACACACAGAAAGGGAGGTCTATTTATATATATGTGTGTGCGTGTGTGTGTGTGTATACACACACAATGGAGGTACTCATACACACGCACACAAGGGAGGTATGTGTACATACACACAAGGGAGGCACACACACGCGCGTACACACACAAGGGAGGTATAAGTATACACACGCACGGGAGGTTACCTAAGATGGGCTCACACACAAAGACAGTGCACACGGAGGTACACGTACGATGTAGGTACATACAGAAGGAAAATACAAAGGAGGGAGGTACACACAAGCTAAGAAAACTCACAGGCGGTTCACACAGGGGATATGCCCACATGGGAGGTACACACAAGGTTTGTTTACACAACGGTGATACACAAAAGGTAAGCATACACAATTAAGGTACGCTCATTGTTACCAACAAAGAAGGTACTAACAAGGCCGGTACAAACAGAGGAGGTACAAACAGAGGACATGCACACAAAGTAGGTGCAAGCAGAGAGGTTGCAAACAAAGGAGGTTTAAACAAAGGGCGTACAAACAAAGGAGTGAGTGAGTGAGTTTGGTATTTCGTCGCTTTTAGCAATATTCCAGCATTATCACGGGGGGGGGGGGAGGGGGCGCGGAAATGGGCTTCACACATTGTACCCATGTGGGGAATCGAACCCGGGCCC